TGTCACTGCTGTCTGTGTGTGTGCCTTTTAATCTCCGACGACGAACCTTGGCCTTTCAAAAAATCATTCCATTCCTTGTTCCAGTCCTTCTCATTCTTACGTGGAGACCTGCTTTTCCAGGTTCTCAGAAAATGTCCATTCACTCCCCTCTTCTGATCAAACAGGTATTTCCTGCAAGTCTCCTCTAACCCAGGCCTGGCAGAGGCCCAGAGAGGCAGAGGCAGGCCTTATCAGAAGGATCCTCTGGAGAATGGAGGTGCCTCTCAGACCCGGGAGAGGCCAGCTCCTTTTCTATGGCAAAGACCAAGATTCATTCTCATCAATTTTATTTTCTTCATTTTCTCTCGGTGTGCCAACCTTTTTAGAATAAAACTCATTTTAATTTCACAAGACAATTCAAGAAGGAAGCAACAAAATTGGCTTAATTTAACTTTACAAACTTGAATAGAAACATGCTTTTAGCATCCAAGTATCCCTTTTTACTTTGACTCCTGGGAAGCTCAGATGTAGATCAGTGCCCAGTGAGTAATCCGATGTCTCACACTCACATTGAACTCTCCCTTCCGTCTGGTTTCTCGGCCCCATTCTACTTGCGCCTGCTCTTCTGAAGCACTCACTGCAGGGAAGCCATCGCACAGCCTTTTGTGAAGTGAGGCACAAATGACAAACAATTCTGTGAAAGATGCAAATGTGCGGTGACAGAAATCAGCTGGCACAACAGCCAACAGGTGGGAGTGACCGCAGTGACCATCAATGGATGAATGGACACACAAAACAAGATAAATGCACTCAGCCTTGGGAAGGCAGGGAATTGCCACCTGCCACAACACGGTGAACCTCGAGGTCAGCATGGCCAGAGACACATGCTGTCCCAGGACGGATCCCGAGTGACCGCAGGCGTGTAGGTAGGCAAACCCACAGAGGCAGAGGGTGGCGGGGTGGCGCAGGGCTGGAAGGACGAAGTGGGGTTGGTGAGTTCCGAGGGCCGATGGTGGTGGAGGCCCAAGGGGACAGCCTCTCAGCGTCCGCTCAACACTGGCCGAGTGGTGCGTTTTATATCTTGTCCCTGTGCTGGGAGCTGGCCTGGCACTTGTGCTGGGGTCGGGGTTGAGCTGTGGCTCGCTGTGGACAGACCAGGGCCTGTGGGCTGGTGCCCCATGAGGCCTGGCAGGGCTGGTCCTGAGCCGGAGGGGGCTGTGGCCAGCCTGAGGCAGGGCCAGGATTCGGTGTCCCTGGCAACTGGCTGTAACAACAGTGAGGCCCATTTCTGGCCAAGGCATCATGGTGAGAACAGGTCGTGGGGTCAGGAGGCTGGGATTTCAGTTGAGGCTCTGCTGCTAAGCTGTGTGACATGGGCAAGCTGCTGACCCTCTCTGAGACAGATATGGAGACAAGGGTACCGTCTGTGAGCAGCCTGGGGCCTGCCGCCGGCAGGGGCTCGTGGTGCTCTGTTCCCCCCTCTTCCCTCCATTCAGTGAAAGTCCCTCCTGCCACACCCCAGGCCCCTTCCCGCAGGCCCTGCTACCCCTGCGCCTCCCTCCATCTGCAGAGATGCCACCTCCTTCTCGGGACACTTTCCAGCTTCCCGCAGACACAAGGGCAGCCTCCTGAGGGCTGGCTCGGACGTCCTGCCTGGTCTCTGCTGGACACAGGCTGTGACCTGAAATCCTCCAGTGACCAGGGACAGTGGCCGCAGGGAAGTCAGGCCTGTGCAGGCAGATGGAGCCCCAGGGTGACGGGCACAGCGTCCTGCCTCACGAGCCCCAGCCCCTGCCGGCCCTCCTCGCCCTCTGGAACATGAACAAGTCCCCTCTGGTGTGAGGCCTGTCCAGCGCGGGGCCGGCAGGCCAGCAGTCAGGAATCAGGGCCCTTGAGATCTAGATGGACTTTCCTCCTGTGAACGGGACGGAAGAGCAGCTTCCCCAGCCTCTGTGCTGGGCGACAAGGCCAATGACCGGTCGTTCTATTGCTGGGGGTCCATTCTAGGTGACAGCCACCCCGGGTGTGACGGGGGACACAGTGGAACCTGGGTCGGTGAGGACCTGGACGCCCACTGGCCCCAGGGACAGGCTGACAGCCGCTTCGTCCAGAGGGAGGCCGGTGAGACACGGTCTCGGCACCCGGGGGACACAAGCCCTGTGTGTCCTCGGGCTCCAGGAGGACCCAAGACGAGACCAGCTGTGTTTTGGGCCTTGCCTGCGTGAGCAGGGGCGTGCTCTCTGCAGGAGCACGAGCCTCGTGGCTGGTGAGGCGCCCGCCGGCTCCCAGGGGCTTCTGGTTTAGGGCTTTTTCCCTTCCAGCTATAGTAATGTATTTGAAGGTCATTTCCACCCCGAGTCTTGGCTCTGTAAGTGAGCTTCAGGACACGCACAGTGAGGTGCTCACGGCTTGAGGGTACAGCCGAGGGGACGTTGACACCCGTGTACACCATGGACTGGCCACCCTCCTACAGAGCACCTTCGGTGCCCAGAAGACCCAGCCCCCCACATCCTGACTCCTGTGGCTGCTTGGCTCCTGCAGGAGCGTCCTGTTAGCGGGAGTGTGGTGTGCATTCTCCCATAGTGTCTTCTTCTGTCCCGCGGCGTGCTAATGGGGAGGTCAAGTGTCCACTCTTCCTTGTCACGTGATATTCCACCGTATGTCACAGCTGCTGTGGCCTCCTTGCCCATGACCGTTGTTGGACACACACATCCTTTCCTGCTGGGTGAGTACCCAAGAGGGGAACTGCTGGCCTTGATATGGGCTAAAATGGCTGCACCGATCTGGACTCCCTCCCAGAGCCGCTCTGCCCCTCCTGGGGAGGCTCACACTGCCGTCATTTTCAATCAGCCAGCTGGTGGCCCGGGTGATGTGGAGGACTTTCCTAGCCTGGGTGTGCGTGTGTGCGTGTGTACGTGTGTGTGGTGTGGTGTACCTCTGTGTGTGTGTGCATGTGGTGTGTGTGTGGTGTCTCTGGGTGTGTGGTTGTCTCTCTGTGTGTGTGTGTGCATGTGTATGGTGTGTGTGGTGTACCTCTGTGTGTGTGTGCATGTGTGTGGTGTGTGTGTGGTGTGTGTGTGGTGTACCTCTGTGTGTGTGGTGTGTGTGTGTGGTATGTGTGTGGTGTGTCTGTGTGATGTGTCTTGTGTCTGTGTGTGTGCATGTGTGTGGTGTCTGTGTGTGTGTGTGTGTGTGTGTGTGTGTGGTGTGTCTCTATGTCTGTGAGTGGGCATGTGTGTGGTGTGTGTTGTATGTCTCTGTGTCTGTGAGTGGGCATGTGTGTGGTGTCCCTGGGTGTGTGTGTGTGTGGTGTGTGTTGTGTGTCTCTGTGTCTGTGAGTGGGCATGTGTGTGGTGTCCCTGGGTGTGTGTGTGTGTGGTGTGTGT